CGGCGCCGTCTTGGGAGCTTCGTGGGCCGTCTTGGAGCGGTCTTGGGGGCCTCTTGGGCCGTCTTGGAGCGTCCGGAAGCCGAAAAAGCCAGAACACAAAAAACATAGAAAAAACAATGAAAATCAACGATTTTGGCCTCTTGGGGCTCTCTTCGGAGGCCTCTTGGAAGGCTCTTGGGGCGTCTTGGAGGCCTCTTGGGCTGTCTTGGGGGCCTTTTGGGCCGTCTTGGGGTCATCTTCGGCGTCTTCGAGCGCTCTTTGGGCGTCTCGGGGGCCTCTTGGGCAGTCTTGGGGGCCTCTTGGGGCACTCTGAGCGCGCTCTGGGGAGCCTGAGAGGCCGCACCCAGAAGGAAAACCATCTCTGAGTAGACTTGGTCGGGCGGCGACCGGGCGTTGGTCGGGGTACTTTTCGCCGGGGGACCCCCAGGGGCCGCCCCGCGCGCGCGAACTAGAAATACTGTTAATACTGTTAACCAGTTACCGGAGATCTTAGCACGCCCTGGCCCGTTGGGCCGGCGAATTTTACGCCGCCCAACCTGTCTCGCCGCGGTCGCGATCAAAAAAGTATCCCCACCAACCCCATCCTGATGCTGCACTTCGCCCAGCAGCTCTTCCAGGTGTGCGCCGTCTTTTGAGCGGCAGCGAGGCTCGTCTCATGTTTGCCTCCCTCGCGTTGTCTTTTCTCTTCCGCGTTCGTCCTCTTCCTCTGTTCGCCCCCCTCTTCTTGCGAGCTAATGTAGGCCGATGCGTCTGCGCTTGGTTCATTTAGGCCGCCCGACCGACCCGTCTCGCCGCGGTCGCGGCCAGCCCAGCCCATTCAGAAGCCCCGTTCCGGCCAGCCCATTCAGAAGCCCCGCCCATGAGAGCTGACGGACAAAGGGACGAAGAGACACACCTAGAGAAACAGAGCGAGCAACCAGGGTGAACCGAGAGACCTCTGGGAGCAAGGGGGTGGCCTTGGAAGGTTTCTTCGGGCCATCCTTTGGGGCCGCGTGGCGGCGAGGGGAGGAGGACGAGGAGGAGGAGGATGAGGAGGAGGAGGAAGAATAGGAGGAGGAGGAGGAGGAGGACGACGACGACGACGACGAGGATGACGAGGACGCGGATGAGGACGAGGACATGGAGGACGAGGAGTAGGATGAGCACGACGCGGACGAGGACTCGTGGAACCATCTAGAGGTAGTATTGCGGCTGCTGATCCTGCTGCTGTTGTTGGTGCTCCGTGGGAGTTGTAAGGGGCCCTCTTGGGACCCTCTTTGTAACCCAGGAAGGCTTTTCGGGAAGATCTTGGAAACCATCGATTCGATGGTTGGGGGTCCCCAATTCAGCTCCCCCTTCATGGGCCCGCAAACCGTTTCTTGGATTTTTTGGGGGGGGGCGCTCTTGGAGCGGTCTTGGGGCCGTTTGGAGCATTTTGGGGGCCACCTTGAGCCAGCTTGGGATATCTGGGCCATCTTGGAGGTCATCTTGGGCTCTCTGAGACCGTTCGGCGGCCTCTCGGGTGCCTCTTGGGGCCCTCTTGTGACCCCTTTGGAACCCTCTTAGGGCTATCTTGGGGCTCTCTTGGAAGCCCTCGAACGCCTTTTGGGGCCGTCTTGAAGACCATCGATCCAAAAAGAGAAGGGGTCCTAGATTTGCCTCCCCCCACTGGGGGCCACGTTCTTTGGAGGGGTGTCAAAATTGGCCCTCCCAGGGGCCGAAAAAAAACCCTCTGACACATCGCGGGGCGCCCAGTCCAGGTCCAGGGGAGGGGGTAGAGGAGGGGTCAAGACACCCCCCCGCCCGCAAGCCGTGTCGCTCACTCCCACCCGCCCTCCCAACACATACGTAGCACCCGAGTGCGGCCCGACCCTCAGCATATTCAGCAGTCGTCTTTGGATGGGCAGCTACTGGGGGCCAATCCGCCGCCACCGCAGCCGCCGCCGCTGCCCGCCGCCACAGCCGCCGCCGCCCGCCGCCGCCGCCCCCGCGCCGCCGCCGCCGCCGCCTCCGCGCCGCCGCCGCCGCCGCCGCCGCCCCCCGCTGCCAAATCGCCGCAGCCGCTGCCGCCGCAACCGCTGCCGCCACCGCCGCGCCGCCACCGCCGCCGCCGCCACCGCCGCCGCCGCCGCCGCCGCCGCGCAGCCGCCAGCCGCCGCCCGCCGGCGCTGCCGCCACCGCCGCCGCCGCAGCCGCCGCCGCCGCCGCAGCCGCCGCGGCCGCCGCCGCCGCCAAGGGTACTTTGTTTTGTTGTTTACAGGGGTTGTAGAGGGGAGGCCGCACTGGGTGGGTTGCGCATGCTCCGAATTTGGAGGCAAAATATGTTTTGTATTGTTTTTGTTACGGGGGATGGTGGGGGGGTGCCCGCATGGTTTTGGGTTGGCTACCAGTCGCCTAGGGGAGCGGAGGGGTGTTCACTATCGGACAGGCACATAACTACACTTTGGGCAAGTGGATTAGTTCTTGCGCGGATTCCACAACTCCACGGTTAGTTTTGCGACATCATCTTACGTATTGGTCCGGGCGCCATTCGAGGGGGCCGATCGCGCCTGTCGGATTTGCCGGGGCCTCGACTTCGCTTGCCAGTGTCGGTGGAATCAACACTTGCTCCTCACGAGTGGATTCGAAGATGAGCGCAATGTGAGTCTTTCAGTTGCGGGGGGGCGCGGGCGTTTGCCACCGCGCAGGGGCCAGGGGCAATTGTGAAACGCTCAGGGAAATGGAGGGCGGCTGGTAGAGGAAGAGCGGGGGAGGGGGAAGGGAAAACAGCGGGCGGGAATGGGGAACATACTGACCAGGCGAGATGCTCAGAGAGGGGGAACGATGTGGGCGGAGGCCGCAGTTGGAATTCCGTCGGAAATTTTGGGACGTTCAGACTCTTCCGCCCGGAGGCTGGCAGGGGGTTCAGCGGCCCTCGCCTTCCTGACTGTGCGGGCGGGGTTTCGCCAGGTGCCGGTCTGTGCGTGCTCGCCCCGCGCGATACATCCAGCACGTTCAGAACTACACGTGCCAGGCACTCGGTGTAGTTCTGTACGTGCTGGTCTCGCCGGGGACATCCTCACAAAACTGTGCACTTATAGAACTACACCTAGCCAGCGGGGCGGGGTGCATGTCGGGTGCCGCCACTCGCGCTCCCAACGTGTACCGCGCCCCGGCCGCTAAGTTCCATTTTGTGCGCGCCCCCTTTTCGCGAAGCATCGGCTGCCCGCGCTGCCCATCGCCGAGGCCCCGTCCCCTGGGCCGCTTTCCACCGACATCCCAAATCCCCTGGCTCAGCGAAACCAGCCGTGTGCCTGGGGACCTCGACCTCGCGCGGCCTGCTTCCCTCCCCCGCCTGTGCCCCAGCAGCAAATTCGCGATCCGATCCCCCGCGGTTTCGAGTTTTTCTTCGTGCCGGATTCCCCGTCCGAGGGTGAAGCGCTTGTTCGTGTTATGATTGCTTTTGCGGCTGACGCCAAGCCTCGCCGTGAAACGTGGTCATCGCTTCCACGCTTGGCCGCAACGTCGTCGGCACGACCATCGCCTTTTCCATCGTAGGTCGCGAGGCGGCGTCCGTCCACCCAGACCGACCGACGCGCCAAATCGAATTCTGATTACCACCCCTGGTCCCCGCAACAAGGTGCAATTCTGGTGTGTGTAGTTGTAGATGTGCTCGGTTACTAACAGGGAGCAGTGATAAGCCCCTCTCCGAAAAAGAAAAAAAGGGTTTTTGGAAGAGCGATACTATAGTTAAACCACCTGTCGCCCAGAGGGCTGGTGGGATTCTTGGTTTGGGGCCTTGGGGGGATTATGGGGGGGGAACCTTTTCACCTATACAGACCCCAAGAAGTAGCGCGTGTGAGACCCAGCGAAGCGGTTGTGGCAGTGCGCGATTGCTCGGGGCCGCATGGGGGAACAGGAAGGGGAGGGGGATGTGGACGTGAGGAGGAGGGGAACCAGGAAGAGAAAGAAAACGAGGAAGAGGGGGTCTTTCGGCGGGGCTTCTTAGGGCGTCTTAAGGACCTCCACAGGGGCTCCGAGCGGCATTTCGGGACCCTCTTGGGGTTCCCCTCCCAGGGGTTTCCAGAGAGCTTCTCGGAACAACCTGGGGGCGTCTTGAAGCCGACAGCTAGGACGTATCGTTCGGGTTCCCCCTTGGGGCCCGCTCTTGGGGCCGTTCTGGGGTTCTTTGTGGTCATCTTGGTTTCTTGTTTGTCCGTTTTGGGGCCGTCTTGAAACTCTGTCGGGGGCTTCTTAGGTCACCTCAGACGATCATTTTCCGAAAAGAATGAAACGATGTTTGCTTCTCGTGGCGTTCTTGGGGGCCTCGTGAAGGCATCCGAGTGCGTATGGGGCCATCTTTGGCAACTTGGAACGATATTTTGGCAATTGGGGCCCTCTTGGACCGTCTTGGGGGCCTCCTGGGAGGCCCCGGGGGCGGTCTTGGAGCTCCGAAGAGAGCCCAGGGAGGGCAGGACCCTCCTGATGAGTTCGGCCAGGGGCTGCCGGAGGCCGAGTGTGGATCACATTCTTGGTTTGGGGGCCCGGTGGGGGGGAAGTGCGGGGGGGAAGCGTCTCACGGCCAGACGCGTCACGGGGTCAGCGGATTTCATGGGCCCTTCTCGGCTGCGCGCACGAGTTTTCCTTCGCCGTGGTGGCTTGTGGTGCGGGCCCACGGGGATCCCGCCAGCAGTGGCTGGCGCGCTTGGCTTGCTCGGAGTGACCTCCCATGCGGCCCCCCACCGCCGCGCACCAAAGATCTCCTGGCGCCCCCCTCTGTTCCTGGCCCCCTCCCCGCCTGGTCGGCGCACACGCCACGGGCCATGATGCACAATCCCCCTTTTTCCTGGCCCTCTTTTGGTAGGTGGATCTCTCAAGCTCTCCGCCGCCTCTGGCAGTGGGCGTTGCGAGCAGGAACGCAGCGAAGCCACAGGAAAGCGCGGCATGGACAGCGCAGCTCCGCACACGTGACAAGTATCAGCGAGCAGGAGCACAGCACAATCCCCCCCTCTTCCTGGCCCTCTCTCTTCTGCGCGCCCGAGGCGGACAGAGAGCCGGCAGTGGACCCCTCGCCGAAGGACTTCGCGCACAAGGGGTTCGGGTAGGTTCAGCCCCGCGTGGGCGCGTCGGCTCGGGCCCCCCCCCCCCCCCAACGGTGTGCTGGCCACACGGTGTGATGAGTTTGTGGAGGTTTGAGGTGACCGCACGGTTTGGAGACTTGTGCCGTTCCCGTTTCCTGAGGACGTCTCGGGCGATCTTGGCCTCCAAGGTCCCAGAGCCGTATGGTGACGGGCCGTGCGACGAGCGACGAGGTTTTTCGGGACTCTGAGGTCACCGCACGGTCTGTCACCGCACCGACTTGGGATCCCCAAGTCGGCGGTGCAAGCGCGTGCGTTGTGTTGACACGTTGAGTTTTACCCGTTGCTTGATATTCGGCCAGTTGACGATGTCAGATGTCAAAAATATGTCAGCCAGAGTGCACCTCAAACTGCGTGCTTCTAGCCATTGATGCGGCACTCTCTAGTTATGAGGAGCCATCTATGTGATGCAATTTCTGTGGAGCGATAACGATAGTACGTTGTGCAAGTTTTGATGGGTAATCGATGCTGTGCAATATATGTTGTGTAACTTGTGTGTTGCAATCTCTACGGTGCAATTTGTGTGATCATTTCTGTGTGGAACAACAATGCTTTGCAATTTGTGTATCTACGGTTATCTACGGTGCAATGTGTGTGCGAGTGGTGCCATCTATGTTGTGGAATACATGAGGTGCAAACCTATGGTGCGCAAGGTATGTCGGGAAGTGTAGCTTATACCATAATACATGTCTATGTATACGTTGTTCTGTATTTGCGCTGCGGTCGACGTTGTGCAATCTATGTGTTACAATCTCTGTGGTGCAACCTATGTGGTGCAAGTGTGTGATGCTGATCAGCACGCGCGGTGCAATCTATGTGTTGCAAGTGGTTTTAACAAACGAGTTGACACATCCCATGCTACATCAAGCATCCCACCCACCCACCCACAACTTGGTTTACAAAACCCTTGCGGTGGCGATTGCGATGCATGCTTGGCGTTGGTCGGTGCATCTTTGCGGCCACGCCGACCCAAGCATGCGCGCGCAGCGGCCAGCTAGTTTGGCGCGACCGACGCGGCCGCGGTGGCGCTGACCGCTGGGCACATCCCAGCGGACACTTCATACTGAGTCGGCGACTAGGGTGAATACGGTATCATGGCATCGTCGAGAACGGTAGACACGATGATGGTCGTAGCGATGTTGGCGACGATGATGACAACGACGAAGGGGCGGCCAATGACGGCGCCGACGCTGATCACGCCGGCGACGATGACGGCGTCCACGCGTCGGCGAGTGAGGTTTTGGACGGGGTCTGATATGCGCGCGCGGCCGACGCGCGAGTGTTGCCCGCATGGTATTTTTTGACACGGATCGTGCCCCCCCCAGCACGCGTACAAGGGCATTCGATTGATTTCGGCACGCGGCGCGAAAGCCCACTTGGCAGAATGGGGTAGGTTTGATGAACAGTTGATGGCTCCATGAAGGGTATCGCACGAGTGCGAACGCAGGCTTGTTTGAAAATTGTTGCCCCGAATTTTGGAATCCCTACGACGCCCAGGGTTTTTGAAGGATGTCGGCACGCGCGCGCGCGACAACGCGCGCGTGTGTTTCTCGTTGTCTCTTGAGGAAAAGACTTCTTGTAACAAACAAGCGCAAGCGCGGTGGGACGATTGCGACACGCGCGCGCGCGAAGTCCGCTAGGTAGTAGCACTTTATGAAAAAATTGGGAGCGTTCGTTTGTTTGTTTATCTCTGAATTCGCCCGGGCGCAGCAAACCTTCCATGACAATTGTTGTTACGAAACCATGTGTGTTCTTTGTTGGAAAGAATCAAACACAAAAAGGTCATTGGGACATTTGATTTACCGTACAGGCGCACGGCATCGTCAGGACGTGTGAGCTTCCAAGAGCAGCTTCTGCGTCCTTGCCGCTTCTGCTGTTTTTTGGCCTCCCGCGGCCCGCTGGGCGCCGCTCCGCGGGCTCCACGGGGGCGTCCGAGGCCCGTGCGTCTTTTACCGCGCGCCCTGATGGTCCAGCTCGCCTGTCGCCAGCGAGGAAGAATAGGCACAGGCACGCGCGAGCGCCGATTTTCGCTGAGATGCCGGATCATATTCGGGGGAGAAAAAGGTAAGGATACGTGTTGTCCCCCTTCGTTTTCGGCCTTTCCTGGTCCTCCTGGGGAATCCTCGTTGTCACCGCTGGATTCGCCTCGAAATTCTGGTCAGAACGCACCCCAAGAGAGGTCTGGGGACAACACGTATCCGTATCTTTCCGCCCTCCAACATATTGGACATACGCGCCGGTCGTTGAAAGTAGGTCTTTCTGGACTCCCAGATCCCAATCTACGTTGGGCGCCTTCCTACTCAGGGATCGACGAGTTTCCTTCGTCCCTCTTCCTCAGGGGGCGGGCGGAAGCCCAATCTACTTCCAACGCCTTCCCACTTCATGTTCCTATCCACTTCTTCCGACCAGCGTGTAGGGGGAAGACGGAAAGCAAACCAACATGGAAAGATCGGGGGTCGTGGGGTTTGTGCTCGTGCATGTGTGTGAAGTCGGGCATGTGCCTCTACAGGAGGGATGTTCCAACAAACGATGATGTCACGAATGGCCTGGGGACGATGTCTGGAACAGCTGTTTGACCATTGTGGGGTGTATGGTTTGGAGCATGTCTCATGTGTCGCCCGACATCCGCCAGTCGGGGGACATGCCCGACCTAAGATTCAGTCGGGCGTGTCCCCTACAGGGGGATGTTCGACGAAAAATATACACTATCCAACACGTATTCCAACACTGTCAGACAAATCATGAAAAATAGTCCCCAGACTATTTTTGGCTATTCTTGAATATCCCCCCCTGTAGAGGGACAGGCCCGACTTTAAGCCTAAGATCAGTGCCTCCTGGGGCTCCTTCTGTGCAGCCTCCTCCGAAGAGAGCGGCCTCCGCGCGCCGGCGGCGCCCAAAGGGGGGGGGAAGAGGGACGGAACGCGAGGGCGGCGGCCTCCCTGAGCCAAGAGGGGAAAAACGAAGGATTGCAAAAAAACGAAGGATTGATTGCAATCCTTCGTCGGAGGGTTTTTTTGCAATCCTTTTTGCAATCCTTCGTTTTTTTGCAATGCTTCGTTCAAGAGGGACGGAACGCGAGGGCGGCGGCCTCCCTGAGCCAAGAGGGGAAAAAAACACACAGACGCAATGGTTCGTCGATCGCTCAGAGTCGGGCCGGGCGAAAGGGGGGGATTGGGAAAGGGGGGGTTACGAAATTTGCTGCATGCAGCTGGTTTCGGCCTCACCGAGGGGCCCATTCCTCGATACATGGGCGCCTCCGGCGCCGGGAGGCGCCGGGAAAATCAGCTACGTGAGCTGATTCTCAAACCCCCCCTTTGCTATCCCCCCCTTTCGCCCGACCCGACTCCCTGAGCCAAGAGGGGAAAAAAAAAACACACACAGACGCAATGGTTCGTCGATCGCTCAGAAAACATGGGAAAAATATGGGAAGTGGGGGGGAAAAAAGGCAGGAACCTGGAACATATGGGAAACTAGTGGGGGAGTCTGGTCATCTGTGTCTGCTTATTTGTGTGTCCCAGTTTCCTTCAGTTATGATGTTCCAACCGGCTGTAGCCTGGGTCACCAGAAAGAACTTCGAGCACCAGGAAAGTACAGAATCTGGAGGGTGTTCACGCGTCGGGCCCTGGGAGACATCCGGTCGACACTGTTTCGGCACTGTTTCGACACTTTTCCAGGTGCTGGAAATTATTGCTGGGATGTGGTCCTCGAGTACGATGGGGACAACATGAGGTTTGGGGGGCATCCTGGCAGGCCGGGGGCCTGGGCCCCTCCGGCGCCGCCTCCGGCGCCGCCTTTGGCGCGCTCCGCGCGCCAGTGAGGGGGGTCCAGTTTGGACCCAAGACATCCGCGCGGAGCGTCGCAAATTTTTGTTTCTGGCGTCTTTTGTTCTTCCAAGAAGGCTTCCTAGAAGCAGGGCGGGCTTCCGAGAAGCCCCCCTGCTTTCCAGGGGTGCACCTGAGCGGTGTTCTGGCAATTTCGTGGGCCGTTTTCGTTTCGACTTCGTTCTGCGGGAAAGGCGGAGCCTAGACAAGACGATGGAAAAAAAAACGAAGACACCACGAAAACGAAAACACCGTTCAGGTTCAGCCCTGCTGCTCGCTTGGGAGCCCCGCCCTCTCTTCTGCTTCGGGGCCTCCCCCCCCCTTGCGCCACCCCTCCCCCTGTGGGCGCCGCCCGGCGAGGTGCCCGACACCCGCGCCCGCGTCGGAGGGGCGCGTGCCGCGCCCACGTCCGCCGATGCCCCTCGGGCGTGGACAGACACCCCGCCCTTCAGGAGGGGAAGAAACGCACAGACACTATTGATCGTCGATCCCCAGGAGAATATGGGAAAATATGGGAAGTGGTGGGGGAAGACAAAACTCAGAAAATATGGGAAAATATGGGGGATATTTTTATTTGTGTTTATTTATTTGTGTGTTTGTGGGCCCCTTCAACCCTGGCACGTCGATTAGTGGATTGTCCGTTGTCTGTTCTCGAGAGGGCGCCGCGGCCGTCATGTTGCAGGCTTGCGCCCGCCAGGTTTGGGCCCCAGGTCGTTCTCGCTAAGCCACGTTTTACGAAAGGGGGTTCTGTCCATCCCCGAGTCCCGACGGTCTCGCGGAGGGTTCGGCAGGGACACCTCCCCGCACCCCTTTGGAGGCGTTGTCTTTGCTGGGATTTTTTGAGCTCAACAATCCACCTCGAGCAGGCCCTCCACCACGAGCTCCATGAGCAACGTGCCGACCACCAGGACGAGCACGCAGGCAATGAAGACCGCACCGAGGGAGATCACGACGACGCCGCACCATGGGCAAGGCCCACGCCAACGCCGTACCGAGGGAGATCACGACGATGCCGACGCCGTCGACAGAATGACACACGAACCAAACTGACCACATCCAACGACCAGAACCAGACCACCGCGTGCAAGCCCTCGAGCGGGAGCCACGTACAGTACCCGGAAGCCCATAGCCAGACTGTCCTTGTGGGGATCGGCGCGCGGGTTGCTCAGGGCGTGCGCTGGGGGTGGGGTCCCGTCGTGTCGACCGCCAGCGGCCCCGCCGCCGGCGTTCGACGCTGGACGCCGCCGGCGACCCCGAATCGGTCGATGTGGCGCGAACTGACGTTTCGAAGGCGGCCAGTCGGTCCAGGCTGAACGATCCCCGCGGTATATCCTGCGTGGTATCCACATCTCGTGGATCCATGATCGGTCCTGGGACTCGATAGTGATCCTGAGAGGCCGGAAGCGAGGAGAAGCGCTTCAATTGACCATCCAAACGCCAACAACACGAACACCAACAGCAATAATCATCCCAGTGCGACCCTACCTAGGAGTTGGAGCATGTAGGAGAGCAACATCTACATCTACACCGACAGCTACATTTACATCTACACCTGCATCTACATCTACATCAACATCAACATCAACAGCGAGACTCACATCTATATCTACATCTACACCTACATCTACATATACATCTACATCTACATCTACACCTACATCCACACCTACACCTACACCTACATCTACATCTACATCTACACTTTCGAATCGGTGTTGCGTTCATGTTGCATTGCCTTTGCTTCTGCTCTTGCCTCTGCTTTTGTCTTTGCCTTTGCTTTCGTTGTTGCTTTTGCTTTGCGTTTGTTGTTGATTATGCTTGATTGCGTTGTTGCTTTGCCTGCGCTATGCTATGATATGCTATGATATGCTGTGCTGTGCTATGCTATGCTATGCTATGCGATGGTGTGCTGCGTTATGCTATGCAATGCTGCGCTGTGCTATGCGAAGCAATGCTATGCTATGATATGCTGTGCTATGCTATCTTATGCTGAGCTATGCTATGCTATGCGTGGCTATGCTATGCTATGCTATGCTGTGTTAATGCTATGCTGCGCTATGCAGCGCTAAGCTGAGCTAAGGTAAGCACAGCTATGTTGTGTTAAGCTAAACTAAGCTAGGCTAAGCTATGCTAAGCCAAGGTAAGGTAAGGTAAGCTAAGCTAAGATGAGGTATGCTAAGTCAAGCTGGGCTAGGCTAGGCTAAGCTAGGCTAAGCGAAGCTAAGCTGAGCTAAGATGAGATAAGCGAAGCTAAGCTAAGCTAAGCTTAGCCAAGCTAAGCTGGGCGAACCCAGGGAGCGCAACTGGGGGAACCGCGGGGCGGATCCTGGGGAAACCGCCCGGGCCGAGGTCCACTGCCCGGCCCTTTTAAGACAGAGAGTAAGAACCCTCTAGGCAGAGCCTAGGTAGGGAACAACACACACCAGAACCACAATAACGACAACAACAACAGCAATGACAACAACAACAACAACCAAACTCACAACAATAACGACACCAACAACAGCACGAACAACACTAACCACACTGGTCCTAACTAATTTGACATCATAGTTCCTTGTAAGACTGCTCGCTGTTATGTGCGTGTCAATAAAGATGTGCTTCCCAAGCCCTGGATACCCGCCCTCTTCGTCTTTGATCGTACTTCCTTGGTGGGGACATCTTTCTTCTTTGCCACGCGTAATTGACGCAAGTTTCTTGGTTACATCTATATATATACATAAAGTAAATGCACAGAAGGACTGCACAATGGAAAGCGAGCAGGAGGGGGGAAGTAGGGGAAGGGAGGTAGGAGGAACATGGAAAATAGGGAACGAGGGAGAAGACAGAGGACGACGCCCCAAAACAGAGAAACCCTTTCACGGGAGGGGGCCACTGAGGGCTGCAAAGGGGCCAGGAAGGGCAGTGAGAGGGCCACGAAGAGTTACGTGGGGGCCACGAAGGTCAGTGAGAGAGCCACAAATGGCAACCGCGTGTCCACGAACGGCATCGAGAGGCTCAAATAGCGGAACCACGGAGGGCGTCGAGGAGGCCACGAAGGCAGCGGCGGGGTCTTCAAGTCCGACTGGGGTATCGCGAGGGGCAGCGAGGGGCAGCGGAACGGGTTGAAAGCAGCGAGGGGCGACTGCGGGCCTGATCGGGCGGGTCAGGCGTGCGGATCTTTACGGGCGGATCCGGCGGGCGGGTCGCGAACGCATGAGTCTCGCTTCATTCGCCAGGAAGTCTGGGGCGAGAGCGCGACTCCCAATGCCATGATAAGGAAGCCCAAGGCGAGAGCGCAAGTCCAGAATGGCGAGAGCGCGAGTAGTCCCATGCGGGAGCGGGGGGGCCCGACTCATTGTGAGGGAGTGTTAGGCGGGAGTTGTTGTTGAAGCAGTTTGGGGGCCAGGGACCTAGTCTTAAGTCGGGCCTGTTCCCCTACAGGTGGATTTCCGACGAAGAACAAAAAACCAAACATAATTATATAATATACCAAAATTAGTATGGGGATTATTTTTTGCGTAGTCTGGGATTTGTTTGATGTATGGTTGGTCAATTTTTTCGTAGAAAAACCCCGTGTAGGGGACACGCCCGGCTTAAGCCTGGTCTGAGCCTGGCGACTTGCATTGATAAAAAGCAAGGTGCGAGCCCTGGGAGAGGGTCTCCAGTTGAAAACATGCGAGGTGCAGTGGGTGGGCGGACCAAGAATAACTCTTCTTCAGTGGTGACATTTCAGCGACAGCCATGTTTCTTCGGAGATCGTGGGTCCAGCGCTTCGGAGGCGCCTTTTGGGGACTTTCCGACGTGAAAGCCTTCCGAAGGAGGGTGGTGTTGTTGATAACGATGAGGTAGGCGATGATGATGGTTTTGATGATGCTCATTGTCGGTCGTGGTTGTGATGAGGATGGTGATGCTGGCGGTGATGGTGATGGCAATGGTGATGATGGTGACGATGGTGATGAGGATTGTAATGCTGGTGGTGGTGGCTTTTATTGATGTGGTTGATGATTATGAGCATAGTCCTGGTGATCATGACGATCATGCTGACCATGATGTTGATGGCGTTGATGATGGTCGTTGTGATGGTATTGGTGAAGGCTGTTGTGTTGCTGTCGTTAACAATGTTGGTCATGTTGCTGATGATCACGGTTATGACCAGGATGACAAAACGAATGTTGGCGAAATTGATGTTGATGTTGATGCACATGATGGTGATGGCTATGCTGGTGGTGCTGCTAGTGATGATTGTGATGCTGATGTTACCGATGATGATGATGATGATGATGATGGGGATGAGGATGAGGATGAGGATGCTGATGATGATGCTGATGCTGATGATGGTGATGGTGATGATGATGATGATGATGCTCATGATGATGATGATGATGATGTTGAGGAGGAGGAGGCGGAGGATTCTGATGATTAGGATAGCGATGATGATGGTGATGATGACGGCGGTGATGATGCTGATGGCATGTGTGATGATGATGATGGATTACGTTGATTATGTTGAATACGATGATGTTGATATCGGTGATGGTGATGATGTTGATGATGATGCTGACACGGATGATGATTCGGATTGTGATGATGATAAGGTCGATGATGGTGAGGAGGAGGATGATAATGCTGATGATGATGATGATGATGCTGATGATGATGATGATGATGATGATGATGATGCTGATGCTGATGATGATGATGATGATGATGATGCTGATGCTGATGCTGATGCTGATGCTGATGATGATGATGATGCTGATGATGTGATGATGCTGATGATGCTGATGATGATGATGATGATGATGATGATGATGATGATGATGATGATGATGCTGCTGCTGCTGCTGCTGCTGCTGCTGCTGATGATGATGACGGAAGCCCGCCGTGGAAGGAAGCCCGCCGGATGACGGTGGTCCTGGCCTACTTCCCGCGGAGGGCCTCGGACGCGGACCTCCGCTCGGCGCTCGACGCCGCGCTCGGCAGGGCGCAGACCGTCCGGCGCTGCCGCGTCGTCCGCGACCAGGAGGTCGGAGGGGGTCCTCCTCCCCCTCCTCTTCCTCCTCCTCCTCCTCCTCCTCCTCCCTCCTCCTCCTCCTCCTCCTCCTCCTCCCCTCCTCCTCCTCCCCCTCCCCCTCCCCCTCCTCCTCCTCCTCCTCCTCCTCCTGCTTCTTCTCCTGCTCCTCCTCCTCTTCTTCCTCCTCTTCCTCCTCCTCCTCCTCCTCCTCCTCCTACTCCTCTTCCTCCTGAGTCGGTGGGGCAGACGGCGCAGCGTTAGCAGTCGGCGGTTCAAAGATAGGGTCCTGAGGGATGGGGTCCTAAGCATAGGAAGGGACCCAAGGGTGCATTTACGCTACAGTGGGGGCGCGCATCGAGAAACCATGTGCTTTTCGTCCGGGTATCCTGGGTTTCTTCGCTCCTCGCGCTGCGCGGTGACTTCCCGCAGCCGTTGAAGGAGTTGCTGCGTTCAGGGTGCTCCCGGTTTCCCCTCGGGTGCACCTCGCGCACGGGTTCTCAGGGTTGGGTTTCTTGCGAGGGTCTCTTGCGGCCGCGTCCGCACGGTACTTGAGGCACCTCGTCCTCAGGACCCCAGCCCTCAGGACCCTATCTTTGAACCACCGAGTCAGGGGCAATGATGGGGGGATGGGCATAGGGAGGATTGTAGGCCTCCAACATGCGGTCGGAATAGGTTGGGTCGGAGGATCGCGCCGCATCGCCGGTGCATCGGGGATGCAACTTGACGTGGAGCCGGATTTTCTCCGCACCAGCGTCGCCGACGCATCCCCGACGGCGCCAGTGCATCGCCGATGCGTCGGCGATGCATCGGCGATGCGGCGTGATCCTCCGACCCCGTCTACTCCGATCCCATCTGGGAGGCCTCCAATCAACCCCAAATCGCTCATTGATAGCCCGACTTGCCCAGGAACGTGCAGATTTGCGATTGGGGGCCCATCCCCGATCTATCGGCGATGTATCGCAGATTCCAGGTCGATACTTCCTCCACATATGTCACCCCCCCCTTCATCGTTTGCCCTCACGTTCGGGGGGATTGGCTCAGAGGTTCTGGGATCAGTCGGCGGTAGGCGAGGGGGGGAAGTGAGAAGGAGAAGGCCCCCTCAGAAGGTTCGGGAGCCCCCCAGCCTTGTGAGAAGGTTTCTGAGCCTCCCCCGAAGGCAGGAGCAGCTTCTCGGAAGGCGCGAGGGCTTCCGAGGAGTCCCACCGCCTCTTGAGAAGGCCTTCTTCTTCTCACTTCCCCCCCCCCCCCGCTCGCTGCCGAATACTGGGGGGTGGCCCACATGGGGGTGAAGACAAGAGCCCTAAATGGGGCCCTCCGGGGCCCCCTTTTGGAGCCACTGGGTGTCTAGAAGGGGCCCCACAGGGCCCCATGCAGGGCCCTTGTCTTCGTCCTCCCCTCCATGCGGGTCGCCTCCCCGTTATCGCCCGCCCGAGCGCCGCAGTCCCGCCCTCGCCCGCCGCCGGAGCATGCCTCGGGGCTCGCTCCCTGGAGGGTTCTGCAAGCCGTCCTGGGAGACAGCCCCCCCCCGGGGCGCCACGGCCGGGCGCGCCCCGCGCAGTGCCGGGCAGCGCGCACGCGGGCCGTGGTCCGAGGAGGCGTGTCGTGCAGCCGGGGGCTTCCCCCTTTGCCCCAGAAGCCCCCTCTGGCGCTTGCTGCGGGGCGTGTCCTCCACCACCCCCACCGTGAGTTGGAGGGGGGCAGGAGGAGGAGGAGGAGGAGGAGGAGGAGGAGGAGGAGGAGGAGGAGGGCGAGGAAGAGGAGCCGTAGCCATTTTGGCTCAAGGGGCCTGCTCCTGGACTTTCCAACCTCGCTCAAGCGCGGCCAGCAGTGACGGCCATTTCGGCCACGGACCCAGTGCCGCGCAGCAGCCCATGGCGAACTGGAGCTCGCAGCGTGGCAGCAGACAGCAGCAGCGTGATGGCCGCCGCGGAGGTTGGACCTCGGACTGGAGGAGCTGGTCCAAATACAAGAATGGTGGCTGGAAGAAGCAGGAGCAGAATAAGCAGTATGTTGTGTGTGACACGTGTGGCAAATGGAAATGGATCAGTCGTGCGTACAAGGACCCGTTGTGCAAATGCGGGGCCAAGCTACTCTCCAATATGCCGAAGAATGAGGAGCCCACTGACGATGTCCCGCAGCTCATGCGAATCGTCCAGGGGTTGCAGGGGTTTCTCGGGGGACCGCAATTGGAGGTTTTCAAGAAGCAGTACATTGCCGCTGCTGACGGAGGCGAGGATGAGGATGAGGAGACGGGTACCGACCGCGGGACCCAGTTATCGCAGCAAGTCAGCCTCGCCAAGCGGTCAATGCAGAGGGCCACAGCATACAAGGATGAATGTCAGAAACGAGTCGAACAGCTACGTGAAGAGTTGGAGCAAGCAGAAGAGTCCCTCGCAGTTGCTGCGGCTCCAGAAGCAGCAGCCAGGGAGACGGCCGCCGCAAAGTCCAGGAAGTGGGCGGCCATGGTGCGCCCAGAGGAAGGGGCAGCGGAGCCTGTGCCCACGCCCCCAGTCGCAGGAGCAGCGGCCATGGGCGAAGCCGAGCAACCCGAGCCGCCAACCCCGCCATCGCGGGGCACCTCGGCATCCAGTTGCCAGGCGGGGCCACAGGGGGCGCCCCCGCGCCAGCCGCCGCCGCCGAGGCCCCAGGCGCCCCAGCCCCAGGCGGCTTGGCGCCACCAAGGCCCGCGGCGGCAGGCGCGGCGCCCGCCCCAGGCGCAGTGGCGAGGGCTGCCCGCCAGGCAGCCATGGGAGCGGGCGCCAGCGGGGGCCCCAGCGGCGGGCGGACCCAGGGCGGTCGCGGCAGGCGCGCCGCCACGTCGCAGCCCCCAGAGCGGCGCAGCACCAGCCCACGGCGAGAGAACACCATGCAGATCGACGGCGGCGAAGCTGAAGTTCCTCCTCCTGCTTGTGATGGGCGCGCTTTGCGTGAGCAGTAGTGAGGCAGCCATCGCCGACCACCCGTGCATAGACTACGCGGCCAATTTTGGCGACCCGCCCTTCTCTCAGGCTAAGGGAAATGCAAGTGGGAAGGGAGGGTCTCTAGCAATCTACGCCGCCAATATCATTACATAGAACAATACCGCTAAGAAGTATATCTTGGACTCTCGTTTCACGGCAGACGTGTGTGTTCTGAGAGAGACGCACCTCACACTAGACCGACATGGAGATGTTCGGAGAAAGTTTCAGAAGAGTGGCTGGAAGACATATGTCTGCCCTGCCGCACCCACCGCGCAGGGAAGCCAAGGTGGGATCCTTCTTGGGGTTCGATCTCACCTCTCTTCTCACGCTCGGGTCATGGGAGACAAGAGCCACATCAAGCCTCTTGCAATAGGGACCCGATGGACCAGTTGTATTATCAAACCCGATGGGGTGAATTTCTTGGTTGTTGCCGTATATCTGATTTCAGGGGTTGGGATGGACCAAGCAAATCGTGATATCGCCATGGAATCCACCACCCACATCCGCACGCAGAAGCTCCCCTACCTCATCGCGGGGGACTGGAATGTTGTTCCTGAAGATTTGGAGAAACCCACGAAGTGGCTTTCCTGGGTACGCGGGGTCGTGGTTACCCCAGAAAAGACGACGTGGACGTGCTCGAATGGGCATCGCATGCTGGACTATGTTGTGGTCGACCAGCGCCTTGCCCTCGACGCCTCCCTCACGGCAGTCCTGGAGGGCCCGTGGAGACCGCGCTCAGGCGTGGCAGGAGTTCTGGCACGCGCAGTCGCTCAGAAGAGATTTTGGCATGCAGTCAGGCCCCCCCTCTCCCCAAAGAGTACTCTGGATCCAAACGCTCGTGGGAATACTATTACGAGAGGGCGGAGGAGGAGGAGGAGAGCATGAACCTCACACCCACCTACCCCGCCTGTGCCCAGCATGTCAGCAAGCAGATTACCCGAGATTACGCCATCTTGAGTCGTGCCCTGGAGCTGCAGGAAACCCACAACAAGGTGGGATCCCAGTCCGCCCCGCAGCGAGGCCAGTGCGCGCAACTGCTCAGGCGTCCTCTGCTGCCGCCAGCGCCCCAGACGGGGCTGGCCACCAGCGACGCAAACCGGTGGCAGGTGATCGTCGCACGCGTGCAGGATCGTGATGATGTCCTGCGACGCCCTGGGCCCCATGCACAAGTTTTTGTGCTGCAGGCGCTTTTGAACAGAATTATTCCCGATCTCAGATGGCCAGAGTATGTCGACCCCGAGATTAAACATGTCATTCTCGAGTATTTCACAGGCCAGTCCTCGGACCTAGAGGTTTTCGACGCCAATTTCCAGATTGGGAAAGGCAGACTCTTGGGGATTATCTTGAACAGATACCTCAACATTTCCAGAAGAAAGAAAATCAGGCGCCTCGGAAGGCTTTCCAGGAGTGGATCGAGGAGGACCTTAAGAAAGGAGGTAAGATCTCTCATGCCATCACCAAGGGTTCCCCCCCCCCTCCTGAAGAACAAGATGTGGTACCTCTAAATGGGGCCCTCACCGATGACCCCATCCTTATCGCGCAGCATAAGCTCACCTATTGGGAGAAATATTGGAGCCCAAAGGGACCCCGCCAGTGCCCTGAAGATTTTCCCCGGCTTCAAGAGCTCCGAAGAGTTGCCCAGCAGCGTGCTGCCCAGGAGCCTGATTGGACAGAAGCCGAAGTGTTTGAAGTTGTTCGGAGGTACAGCCCTAGCTCAGCAGGAGGTGCTGACTTGCGGCGCCCGCGCGAGCTCGACGCCCTGCCGCCCGAGGGCAAGACTGCCTTCACCGACCTGATCAATCAGGTTCGGACGACCTTTAAGTATCCCGCGCAGGTGCTACTCAACATGGTTCGTCCCCTCCCTAAGAGTATCGAAGCCGATCGGCCCATCACCCATACCAACAGTTACTATCGGATTCTAGTCAAGTTGTACCGCCCAGGCCTCACCGCGTGGGATTCAAAAAGAGCAGGTTTTTGGGATGAAGCCATCCGAGGATCATCGTGCCTCCGAGCAGCCTTGCTGAGTGAAGTGACAGCGGAGCTGGTCACCAG